AAATTTTTATTTCTAATTATCTTTGGCCTTTTATATATTAAATCCATGTATCTATATTGAGTATAATACAATATTATAAAAAAAAAGTGGTTGTTTAATCAGAAAATAAAATTAAAACACTTAATAAAGTAAAAAAATAAATAAATATGTTTATTTTTATAAAATTCACTTAAAACAGTCACTAACAGTAAACAAAAACAACGAAATTTTAATTTTAAACATAATTATTTACTTATCCATATATCCACATTACATTGTTCACTTTTTCCCGTGATTATATAAAAAACCATTTGTCTGTATAGCGTACACTTCCACCCAAAAGTTGAAACCTCTAAACACAGACGGACTGTCCAGTTCGATCGTCACATACCTCTCGCCAATACCCCCGGCCTTGATATACGCTTCGCCCCATTTGTCTGCTCTCAAATCCAGAATCTTTATAGCATTGATAACTTCATTTCTCGTACAGTTGACTGTAAATGTGTCATATCTGATCCACACCGCCGGATTTTCTTGATGCACTTTGCTGTATATCAATTTACTTCCTATATCTGGATAGCCAAGGAATAAATCGTGACAATTCAATAAAGAAAATAAGGTAGATAAAATTAATAATCTAGAAATTGACTTCATTTTAATACGTTTACACTTTACGGGGTAATAAATCAAAATGTTACTTTAACATGAAAAATATAATAAAGTCTGGTCATCTGGAAAACTAATTAGCAATAAAGTGTTAATATGTCATCTATGAATGGAAATTATAATGCTGGTAATACATAACAGAATCATTGATTATAATGTATATAGAGGGAGCATTAAATGCCAAAAACCGTTTTAAAAACGATCAAACAGCTATTGGGTAACGCATCTTTGTTTCGTACTAATTATTTAATTGTTTGATAGAGTGTGCGAGTGAAGTAGTATTTAGAGAGGGATGAGAGGAAATTGTTAATAATGGGTACTAATGACCTTATTGCTAGCAATACAATTTATCAAGTTGACCTCCATGTGATCCCCCCATGATGGTTAATTCCTGATGAATTCATCACGATGAAATGATTGACTTGACTTCATTCTTATCCTAAAGGATGCAACATCCTTCACAGGTACCCCACCATTTTATATACCGTAAGCATAGACGGATGCATAATTCCGTCTTCATCCATCAAAAAAGTAATATAATATTTATTATGTAATAAACACAAATAAAGTTACAGTTTAGAGCAATAAAAATCACCAATTACATGAAGTTAAACTTTTTTTCAAAATGACTGTTTTTGCCGAAGCGTTTTTGTCAAAGATGCGAAGATTGATACTCCATCTAAATACAAATAATCTTTGAATACAATACAGAAACTAACCCAATATCAGTACCCAAACGAGTAACTCAAGTACGAAATGTTGACGTAACTTCCTCGTAAAATTAGATGTTCCATAATAAACATGTTAATTTTAAACGTCAATAGTTACTCAGAATAGTATAATGATCTCATGACTGTTTACAACACTGATCCCTATATAAATGATACTGTGACAAGATTTCATCATTTGTGAGTCAAATGTTTAATAAGACTGTATCCAAAATGTCAAGATTGGTTTTGAGTTGTTTATTTTTATCATATTTAGTTGTCATAGTGAAATCAAACGACATACGCCTCGGGTACGCATCGCCTCAGTCTAGAAAGATCTACAGCGAGATAAAAGAAGCTGACCCGGCCCTGTGGAAAAGGACGGACGATATTATTATCAATACGCCCAACAATGAAGTGATTAGTGCTGTCTTTGTCACCGATCTTAGGGATGATAAAAGTGGTGAAGCCTTTATAGAGAGCGGTGGTATTGGAGCCAAAAGTGTCACTGTTGGCTTGAAGAGTCCAAGTATATTGAGAGGTTATAAATTCGAAATCGAAGTGTATGCGAACGATCCAAACGCCATGTTTTATAGTAAGGGGGTAATTATTATGATAATTCACCATACCCCAGAAAATATTGAGTGATTAAATTATGTATATTGTTATAATTTATAAATAAAGTTTCATATTTTTATAATGCAGTTTGTTTCATTTATTTTATTTACAAAATCTTCCCTCTTAAGGAATGGAGATGGAAAACTAACTCCCGGCAGAAGCATTGTCGGCCGAGGTTCTAGGCTATATGGACAGAAACCGGCATACTATGCCGGCAGTATCTAAGAGCACGTCATTCTGCATTTTTCCTGGAAATGAGCCGCCTCAGAATCCCAACCCTCTGAGGTGTTTTTCCAGACTTTTTTTTATACAACTTAGAAAGGCAAACAAATGACGGCCCACCTGATGGAAAGTGGTAACCGTCGCCTATAGACATGAGCAGTACCATGGACATAACAGAGTATACTGTTTCGCCCATGATACCCCCCATGCGTTGCCATTCCTGAGGACTCAGGTGTTATTCCTCCGTACCCGTACTGTCGAGATATTTTCCCTTCTTTCTATACTAGCGATACGCCGCTAGGGAAATATATAAACTATATAATGCGCGTATTACGCTCCCTTTCTTTCCCGTGGGTGTCGTAAGAGACGACTAAAGGAACTACATGATCGAAGGATGGCCACGTGGTTCCCCCTGGAAACCATCGTGAACAATTCTTGTTGAATTCGTCACGATGGGCTAACTGACCTGCTTCATCCTTACCTATCATCCTTCACTGGTGCCCCGCCGGTGTATACCGATAGCGCTGGAGGGGTTACCATTCAATTATCATCCATTAAAAAAAAAGGTATGGGGTTCTGGAAAATGAGAATAGAAAAAAGGTTTCTTTACGATCGACAACGCGCACGTGAAGCCCCTAGTATTGCAGGCGTCCACGGGCTACAGTGACAGTTTACTATCAGACGGGCTATCTTGTTTACCAACTTAAAAAAGTTTGGTTTAAAAAAAATACATACATACTTATATTGTACAATAAAATGGAAAACAATATTTTACGACGACATTGAAGGTTATTCCGCTTAGTCTTTACACTACATCCATATAATTAACTACGTTGGTTGAGAAAACAATAGAACATGCTAATAATATGCATTTGTCGCGTATAATTTTCCCTTGTGAAACTCTCTGACACAAGTAGCAAACAAATCTGTCCATAGACACATTTTCGCTACCTCATGCGTATGGTACATGTAGTTATTTGTATAATGATACTTCATCAGTCCTTTGAGACAAGTAGCAAACTAATCTGTCCATAGAGACACTTTCGCTACCACTTGTATATGGTATTTCTAGGGGAGAAAGGGGGTGACTGAAAACAAATTAAATTTTACCTGTATTTGTGTATGTACGTATCACCAATTAACTGTCCACTGCTAAATATAACCTCCCCCATAAGGAGGATTTTGCCCGTACTTGCCATGCTTGGCAAGCGGATTGGCAACCGCAGTTTGACTTCTGGTGATGTTTTAACAGGGCGCTGCTGCCCATCCCACCATCATAAGCTCCCTTAATCGCCTCGCACGACACCCACGGGAAAGGAAGGGGTGGCCTATTTTTTTTTAATTAATGATAATGGAATGGTAACCCCACCCGCGTTGTCGGTATACACCGGCGGGGCACCAGTGAAGAATGATAGGTGAGGATGAAGTAGATTAGTTAGCCCATCGTGACGAATCCAACAAGAATTGTTCACGATGGTTTCCAGGGGGAACCGCGTGGTGGTCGACCTAATAAGGTATATTGCTAGCAATGGGGCCATCAAACTCCATTGCTAACAATCCTTTTCCCCCTAGGGGTGGCCTATTCTATGTCGAAACCACACGGTAATTGCGATTACATATTAAAAAGAAACCTGTAACATGAACAATGTCACGGAGGTAAGCTAGATTTAGTGATCTTGTAATGGTTTGTTTGTGGAAAGATGGCAATATTGTAAACACGCTGGTTTACCGATGGTCACACGTCACTCGCTCACGACACGTCCAGATTGTGATGGATCATACGCCAATGTTTGTTCTTTATGGACGTGGTTATGCCACAGTGAACCAAGAATAACAATTTGTTATTAATTAGTTTTTTTTTTTTTTTTAATTCATTATTTCCTAATCAAATACTTGTACACCACCTCGTTCTCGCAATCAAAATAAAAAAGTAAATTTCTTTGTCTGTCCTGACATTTTGAAGTTATTTACCAAATTTTATAACAATTTGTTGAACCATTATGGCACCTAGAGGTAACAAACTATTGTAAATTACTTAATTACAATTATTTTGCTTAATTCTGCTACCATTAATATGTGTGTGACTGCCAATACTCGAAGATTGACTTCTCTCGAAAAAATTGAACTAGGCTCTGAGCAGCAATCTAAGAATTTGCTTGAAGATCTAATAATATGATACACCTATACCAAAATATGCGTGAACAAAATACTAGTCGGAAATTGATGGATACTACTATGTGGAACATCTGATAGTAATAGTGGTGGCCAATCTTCGAATGTTAGTAATCACACACATACTAATGTTAGTGCTAATTGCACTAACATTAGTATGTGTGTAACACAATAATTCTAATCAAATAACCGTTAACTTTTAGTTTGCTTGTCTCAAAAATTTTAATAGAAATTCGAATATCAGGAACCAGTATTCATCCATAAAATGTATTATAAAATTGGCAGGAAATGCAGCAACAGATTTGTACATATATGGATAAATACTGGTTGCATATATGGACAAAGGTTTCTCTATTTAGTCTGTCAGGAACTTTATATGTAAATATATTATAGCCATTACGTAAATAATGTAACAAGCCAGACAATCACACTAATTGAAGGACAAATTAGACAAGAAACATTCTGGAGGTATAAAAACGTCTACTAAGCTAAGCTATTTGGGAATTTACAAGATTCTAATGTAAGTTTCATCATGCAACTTCTGTTATGTAATCAAAATTAACTACAAACAAATGCACTATTTCTTGGTTCACTTTTGCATAACACCTTCATTTTCTATATAAAACAATGTCGAGCAATTAACACTCCAGTGCAAAACGATCGAACGATACCAAAATGCGCGCGCTAACAATCTTCACTCTATTCTGCTTGATTGCGGCGTATTCTTGCCAGAGTCACGACTTGGTGCTTGGTCAGGCAACATACGGTGACGTGATCATTTACAAAGTCAACGAATACAAATATGGTTTCCCGCTCTTCATAAGGACCAGCATCATCGAATACCCAGAACCAGGGCAACATAACTTCGCATACATCAAGGCTATATACGTGAAAGACAACGAGAGAGATGGAACTGGTGGCTACCCGACCATTTCAGCGGGAGGCATTGGACAGAGATTTGTGAAAATCAAACTCAAAAGCCAGAGGAATTACGGCTTCAACTTCACTGTTACCATCTATGGAAGATACTAAGTGATATCAGTACTGTACCGTGGCTATGAACTCCTAGTATTCTGTCGTGTAATGTGCCAAGTATTTCACTGTACCTACAAATTCGCAAAAGTGTGCTTTAAGTGTTTTATATTATAAACTTATTTTATTTGTTGTTAATATAATATATTAATGAAAAATCTCTAATAACTGTTATTTATTACGTACATGCCAGTGGGAGACTTTGTACATAAATCGTTTGGCTGGCCACCTCTGTCCCATTCGTGTTTCTACAGTGAAGCAGTTGTGTATGCATGGCTGTATTTCGGTTTGAAGGGTGGGATATGACAGTGAATTTACAGGGTACAGAGGAATAACACCTGAGTCCTCAGGAATGACAACGCATGGGGGTATCATGGGCGAAACGGTATACTCTGTCATGTCCATGGTATGAAAGATTGAATGAATGGTTTATTTTCTCTTCACAAAAGGGAGTATGAAATAACAACTTGAGGTACAATTAAATATGTAAGACCAATTTTGTGAGAGACTGGTGCTTGCAGTAGGTTTTGAAGAACCAGTATTACAAGCCACCAAATCTATGTTGCATAAAAAAAAAAACATGAAACGTTAACCTAAATTATATTTGCGAGGACTCAATCTTGTGATGACCTATTGTCCTCATTTCATCATCATCATCTCTAATTGTTCGCAGCTGAACAACAGGCCTCAAATATTCATATACAAAAATTTGAAGGAATATCAATAATCCTTATTTATTTATTTATTTGAAACTTACTCACCACACTTACAGTCTCCTAAAACATGTAGTAAGCTGTAGGTTTATTTTACAAACTTACAAATTTTGTACAACATTTTAAAAATATATCAATTTTGTCATTAAATATATCAATATCTGGCTGCTGAGCAATCGGAGAATTGAGCAGAGAAATAGCCTGATAAGTGGGAGCAAACTGAGCAGTACAGGTGCGAACCGGCGGTGCCGATAGTAGTCGACAAGCATGCAGTCGCAATCGCATGCAGCGTTGGGGTGCGTACAAAGAACAACGGCTAAGAGTTGCAGGATTGTCTTAATGTAACTATTTACAAATTAATAATATTAAAGATTAAGAATCGTAAAAAAAATTGAAAATTATTAAGAGAGTATATTGAGGTGTTGGATTGCCCCACAAATAAGGAATACAGATATTAGTAACGTTCAATTTTAATGCTAGGCTTTATAATACACATGAAGGGATACAAAATAGCTCGCGGGCCGTCTTAGTCTCTTGGACGAGCAACCCTTAATTTTTTTATATAAAAGGGCATCAAACAAGAGTGTAGTTCATCTGATGGTAAGTCATTATCGCAGCCTATGAACACTACGGCATCGAATGTTCTCATGTTACATTTTGTGAAATTTTCCAATGCGTTAAGCTTATCAAAATGGTATTAATCCTTTTTTTGAAGGTGCCCATGTCATATTGTGTGAAATTTATGCCCTAACGTACAGTACGAGTATATGTAGAGTTTCGGTTCCAAATTCAACCAGGAATATAATACAACTACCTTAATAAACTATTGATTTAATGGCAAGAATTCTTTTAATATCTTTATGAATAAATGAATAAATATTATTGTTCCCTTTAAAGAATGATACAGATTATAAATATTAACAATATGTACACCAACAAAATTAATACTTAATTACATAAAAATTATATAAACCTAAATCAAATAATATCTTTAAAGTTAACCCTTCTTTGCCTAATGGTGAAAATTTCCATCATAACATTGAATGCCCAAAAATTATATAAAAGAACAAGTTCACTGTAAGTTGATCGTGTCTGAATACCTTTTTAATGTCCATTGCAGAAAAAAAAAAAAACTAAATAATTGTCAAATTTCTTTTTTTAACCATTTTTCTTTTAATTTTGAACATGAAACAATTATATCACCTTCATTTGTTTCACCAATAAAAAAAATTATGCAAAGAAGGGTTAAGTGTCTTTTTGGAATTCCAAAGTCGAATCAGAGCTTCAAATTTTAATTCAAAACGATTTTAAAATTCATACTTAGATTTCAGTGCAGTGCTACCTTTGTGTAAATCAAAATAATTGTCACCAGTGACCGCTATCTTTACACTCATAGCTGATTCATCATGAAGATAAATATTGCAACATAATTTTATTATATCAAACTGAAATTATCTTGTATGCATTTGTCTGTCTGTTTGCTGAAACTATATTGAAAAGATATGCATCACTTATGTAGTTACACGTAAGTATATATTATTATCAATATCTACAGAAACTTGACAACTTGTCACGATGTTTGTATACAAAACAGTGTACATTATTTAAAATCGTGTAAATATAAATGAGTTAAAAACAGGAAATGGCTTTTGTTGTGTTCCGTATTAAAAAAAAAAAATGTTGTCATCACCCGAGTGTCTGACTTTGCTTGAATGACTTCTAAAAGGTGGAAGTTGGTGGATTTGACTTTAGCCTTCTTTTCTATGTATTTTACATAATATTGATTGTAAATTATTTTTACAATTGATTGGATTTAAACCGTCAATTGAAAAATATAATATAATAAAATAAATGTATCTGTATGCTGTATACTTTGCCACCTTCGTGGTATAAAAAAAAAGAAAAAAATGGCTCCATATTAGTTTTATCACTGAAATGAGTTAAAAGTCCAGACCAGCTTTTTTTTATAAGTTTATTATAATTTATTATTGTATGTTATACAATAATAAATTAAAATTAATACTATAAAAAGGAAGGATTTGAAATATTGTATATTTGTAATTAGTTAGTAGTAAAATTAATGGATAAACTAGAATAATATTTAATCGACTTTAAAAATTACTTCACATATAGTAAAGCTAAATTATCACTGAGTAGGTAACAGGCTGGACCCTTAATATATTTAATAAAAGTCAATCAAAACCAGAGCTGGCTGCTAAGAATTAATATTATTTGATTGTTTTTTTTTTTTTTATACAACTTAGAATGGCAAACAAGCTGACGGCCCACCCAATGGAAAGTGGTAACCGTCGCCTGTAAACATGAGCAGTACCATGGACATAAAAGAGTATACTGTTTCGCCCATGATACCCCCCATGCGTTGCCATTCCTGAGGATTCAGGTGTTATTCCTCTGTACCCAGTAAATTCACTGCCATATCCCACCCTTCAAACCGAAACACAGCCATGCAAACACAACTGCTTCACGGTTGAAACACGAATGGGACAGAGGTACCCACGCAATCGACTCGCATTATTCATGGACACTTGTAATAAAACTGCTAACAAACTATTTGTCTCCATTAAAAAATCCCGACTGCAAATATCACCAAATAAATTTAACCTTGATCAATGACTTGGCAATGAAATTTGAGAACATCAATCATAAAATACATTGTTAATTTAAAACATAACGTGTAGAATAGTAGATATTGGTGAAAATAAAAAGCAATTTTTCAAAAAGCATTAGCTAGTGATGTGCCGAGTCAAGTTTACTCGAATATTGATTCGAATATATACTAACTACTCAATTACTTAGTGTACTTAATTTATTTTATTATTTTATCAGATTTCCATTACTTCAGGAACTCGAATACTAATTTCATTTTTATCATAATTTCTTTTTCATCGTATCATTCATTATTTTCCTTAATTACAAAAAGTAAATTTATCAAATGATTGAACATTTATTGTCTTCATTAAAATAAGCATTAGAAATCGATTAAAAAATAATTCTAGTTTAATGACACACTTTACAATGGAATAGTAAACCCACCTGCGCTAACAGTATACGCTGACATGGCACCAATGAGGGATGATATGTGAGAATAAAAAGGCAGGTCAGTTAGCCCATCGTGATGAATACACCCGGAATCACAGTATGATGGTTTCCTGGGACCACGTGGAGGTCGACTTGACAAGGTATATTGCTAGCAATGTGATTGGTAGTTCGCATTACTAAGAATCCTTTCCCCTCACCTAAATGAAAACAACTAATCAAGTAGGCAGTAATTCATCATGGGCAAAACAGTATACTCTGTTATGTCCATGGTACTGCTCATGTCTATAGGCGACGGTTACCACTTCCCATCAGGTGGGTCGTCAGCTTTTTTGCCATTTTAAAATGCATAAAAAAAAGTTTGTATGCACAATTTCCAATCTTTAGTAATTAACATGTTTGTTGCAGCACAATGGGTCTAGTCGAGTTTGAGAAATGGTCGAACCAAACCGAACTATTCTCGGACAAATCTCGCATGTGCTCGCGTATCCGTGGACTGACGCCTGGTCAGAGGCGGGTGTGTCGGAGGCACAAGGATCATATGCCAGCAGTCGCCGTGGGTGTTAAGAACGGGATAACGGAGTGTCAGCACCAGTTCAGAGACAGGAGGTGGAACTGCACAGTCACCACTGATGACACTGTGTTTGGACCACTGACTTTTATTGGTAAGTATTTAGTTAGACTATGGAGAGATGTGTGTAATTTTTATTTGTCTTTGTAGACATTTATCCCTCATGAGTTTACAAATTATTATTTTGTTCTAATAAGGTTTTTCTTCATATGAAACCAGAGGGAGATTTCGTACAAAAGTCGTTTGCTCCATTCGTGTTTTTACCGTAAAGCAGTAGTGTTTGCATGGCTGTGTTTCAGTTTGGAAGATGGGACATGGCAGTGAATTTATAGGGTACAAAGGAATAACACCTGAGTCCTCAGGAATGGCAACGCATGGGGGGTATCATAGGCGAAACAGTATACTCTGTTACGTCCATGGTACTGCTCATGTCTATAGGCGATGGTTACCACTTTTTAAACAGGTGGACCGTCAGCTTGATTCCATTCTAAGTAGTATAAAAAAAAGTAAATAATTTAACGGACTAACTGAAATTTTATACCAAATCTTAAATATAAATAAAAATAATTTCAAAATGCTTATTATTAAGTTTACGTGAATAAATAATATTCAACCATTGCAGTGATAATGTAGTTTAAACATACCATTTCCCTATTGCTGTAATTGTTATTTATGTTTTTTTTTAATGGTATTCAAAAGAGAATATTTAATAATTCGAGGACTCACAAGAAGATTTTGTAGATTAGATTTTATAGATAAATATTATCGTTTCCATATCGGTCTCATACTAAACTTGTCTCTATTGAACTTAGATTGGTTTTAAATAAAATCTTAAAGAGTTTTTGTTCATTCCGTATCTAAATGTAGTATTATATTACTTATTTTCAATTTTTTTTAACATTCCTATCAATATAAGAAACACGAATTTTGGACCGAATTTTATTTTTATCACATAAAAACTTACAATATTTTACTAATATAATAAAATTGTAACTATACGATATCTGTACATAGATGATATTTAAGAAAAAATATCATTAGAGAAGGCCTCTTATGATATTTTTTTCTAATAATAAGACTAATAGCAAAACAATAAATATTAGATATGTTGTCTATCTGTCTGTCTGTTTGCACGCAAAAACTACTGGACTAAATTGAATGCGGTTTTCACAGTCGTTATCCTGAAGGTCTAACTTAAAATGTGGTGTATGTAACATCCTGATATGCAATCTAGAAGTAGTCCATTTCGTTGGTTTTCTTACTTCTGAAATCCACGAAATAGCAAGCAAAAAGCTAGTAAAAAAATATATATGTAAGTACGAGTATATTTCGTCGACTTTGCTTGTATCTTCTTAGAAGATTTGCATTCTTGTTATATTTCTAACAACCTACCTCAATGTGAGTCAACTTTTTTAATTTGTGGGCCGCAGTATAATTTTTGCGGGTCGCATTTGTATCGCGAATTGTAGAAAAGAATAGAATTTTATTGCTAACTGTGTACATACATATAGCAGTAAACATTGCTTTAGACTTGACATTAGTATCAACAGTTATACCCTGTCGGGTATGCAACAGTTTGAAAACAGGTAAATAGCTAGCACAAATATCAAGACATTTAAATACTATTAACGTTACATAATTGAAATTAATTGATTCATAAATGAGAGCATTAAATAGGGTCGTAGATCCTTATTCTCAATAATATTACAAATTGAAAAATGTAGTTTTTGTTAACTTTTGACTTCTTAACGGCTCAACTAATTATTGTGAAATTTAGTATACATATAGTATTGGGAGTGAAGAAGGACATGGGCTAATTTTTATCCTGATCAAACAACATAACTTTGGTCACGGACGAAGTCGCGTATAAAAAATAGTAATTTAACCATTTTAAGTGGCATACTCTAGTCTAGATATTTTAACGTCTTAATTAAATTAATTTTGGGTTTAGTTAAAAAGTTATAAAGTCCGTTCAGAAGTACTCGACTTTCTAATATGACTCAACTCTTTCTCGTTTTTATTTACCTCTCAACAGAATATTACAGCTTACCTTGCTGATTATTCGTCACTAATTGTTCAAAATCAATATCTACAAATTCAGTAGAATCGCAATTATATTATATTGTCTCGAAAAGATTGCTTAATTTTCTTTAATTACAAAATAATAAACAAACACCAAAAGTCTCGATTCTAGCGCCATCTAGTATTTCGTGTCCAATTTTGTTTAATGACCAATCAACTTAACAATAAGGCGACCTTTTGTATAAATTCGCATTAATTATTTTCTGTATTTATTATTATTATTATAACTGGTGTAATAAAGTGTAAAATAAATAAATAAATATACGTACATCTATTGCGTGCGACCCACTGGTTGAGCACAACTGACCTATTTGATATTTCTCTTGGAAATATTCGGCTGAACAATAGACATGTATCAAGATAAAGATGCGATAAATTTACTTGTGTGGAACAAAGAAATGTTGACATAGAACGTAATAAAAATATCATAAAGACAACAGGCTACCAGAGTGAAATGTGGCCCGCAATTATTTTGCCGCTTCAGTAAATTATGTTTTTTTCTTAATGGCTGAAGATGGAATAGTAACCCTGCTTACGCTATCGGTAAATGCTGGTGGAATACCAGTGAAAAATGATAGGTGAAGATGAAGGTAGGTCAGATGGACCAAAGTGACTAATTGAACAACAATTAACCACTATGGTTTCCAGGTGGTATCGCTAATTTTCATATTATGTAAGCTTTAATAATAATAACAAGTGAAATCAAATGAGTTTTGTCAACTAAATCGAATTCCTAACGATGGACTGCTACGATGTGAGAGCTGGTGTTTCCCAGGGATCCGTCCTTGGCCCTATTTTATACTTACTCCTTATGGGTATCACCCATAGTGGATGTTTCTGAATCTGTGAACATATCTTGACAACTACATTTACGGATGTTTCTGATTTAACAAACAATCAGAAATTGCTTCAAAAACATTACAGAAACTTATTGATAAAGTACATAAATGGTTGACAGATTGGCAAATCAGAGTAAATGTTTAAAAATTAAAACATATGTACTTTAAAAAAGAATATAAAAATATTTACTTTGATCCGGCTGTCCAATTTCGAAAGGATGTATTACTTCATAACACAGCTGTATTCTAGTTTTTACCTTAACCATGACCAAGCTTGAAAATATCATATATAAAAGAAACAAGATGTTCATAACCAAAAACTGAAATCCCAACACTACTTACTTGGGATACAATTCAAACTATCGATATGTAGACGCCAATGTTCTGATTTAGAAATTAATATTGTAATCTAAAAATAATAATTAAAATAATAAAGAAAAAACTAAAAAAAATTAAAATAGGTACGCCTAATAATAAAAGCTGTGTGTACCGTGCAGTCCCGGCATAAAACATTTCACCCCATCCTTTTACGTGGTTGTCATAAGAGACGATTAAAGGAACATAATGGTCGAGGGATGGGTAGCAGCGTCCCTCTTAGAACATTGCCAAAGCCTAACTGCGGTTACCATCTTGCCTGCCAAGCGTGGGAACTACCAGCAAAACCCATCCTTATGGAGGTGGTCTTTAGGATTAGACAGTTTACGACAGATATGTTGATAATGATGGAGAAAAAAGTTCCTAAAGATGGTAACACAGTTACGCCAGTCACTACGCTGCCACCTTTATGAAGTAATTCTGTTCGCAATCATACTTGTTTACAGAATAAACATTATAAATCATTCACAGATCTGCAAATAAAATTCGAAATTAATTTTAAAGAATAGTCGTGCCTGTGCCACTTTCTACAACTCCAAAAAGCTTAAAACTTTGAAACACTGTACGTATGATACCAGTGACGTAACATACAATCGCAACGGATGAGAATGTAGTTTATCTTCGTATTATCAACTGCTGGTGTTGAAAATGTAGGAATGCGCAGTTTTGCACAGCTCTAAATCTCTCGCAGACTACTCGCGGAGTGGCGTGCGGGACGCTAACTGATTTATGGCGACATCCCATTCGCGGTACTATTTGCACTAAGAACAATAAGACTTTAATATTTAACTTGCAAGTTTGTTCTAGTCAAAGCTTTTAACTCGAACGTATTTAAGTATGACTTTAATTTATTAAATCTTATTACTATAGATAACAAGTTTGTTATTTGCAACCTATATTATGTATTATATGCGAGGGTTTTAGAGTGAGATACAAATGGAAATCATTGTCATCATTATCGTCTCAGACATTATCTGTTCATTGCCGAACATAGACCTTCCCCATAGACTATCATAACGTAGCCTATGAACGCCTGCAATACCAGAGATATTACGCGCGCATTGCCGACCCTGAAGAAACCTCTTTACCCCCCCTTTTGAAGAACCCCATGCTGTAATTTCTTGGGAAAATCTTGGCAGGGAGCTCATTCCATAGCCTGAGTGTTCGTGGGAGAAAACATCTCTGAAACCACGTTGTACACGACCATTTAGGCTGTAAGGTATGAGGGTGAACTCCCTGTCGATGGCGAGCCGTACAATGATAGAAAGTGGCCATAGGCATCATATTGAATAAATAATTCCTCTGAGCACAATCCGTTGTACAAGCGGTAGAACACGCAAAGTGAGGCAAAATCTCTCCTAAGACTTAAGGGTTCGATACCGCTTGCAAGCCTGGGATCATCGACAATTCTCATAGCTCGTCGTCGCACTAAGTCGAAGGGTTCAAGCTGGTATCTAGGTGCTCCCGCCCATAAGTGACAGCAATACTCCATATGGGACCAGATTTGCGATTTGTAGAATGTATTTCAAGTAATCCGTTCTACTCTTAATCGTGTGTAAACCCGTAGAAATATTACTTGTGTGAAATTAAAACGTTAACAATGTTGCGTCAATTTCAACCATCTTCAAAAACAGGAGGTTCTCAAATCGGTTGTATTTTTTTTTTGTTTGTAAATAAAGTTTTAATATTATTTTTTGTGATCTATAAGAATATCATCATTATATCAACTTTTAACTGACCACTGCTGGACATAAGCCTACCCCTTAGGAGGTTTTGCCAGTAATTGCCACGATTGGCAGGCGGGTTGGTAACGGTAATTAGGCTATAAAAATGTTTCAAGAGAGACGCTGCGGCCATTCCTCACCTTCCCTTAGTCGCCACTTATGATACCCACGAGAAAGGAAGGGGTGGTCTATTCTATGCCGGGAACACGCGGCCATATCTGTCAGGATTTGCACTTACAGAAATTTACCCATAGAAATTTTATCCAAAAAATTTAGTTTACAATTAAAATTTTGCCCTAATTAAATTCGTTTTTGTTTATGAATTACAATCTTATGTTAAACAATTTAACGTTGTAAATTTTTAACAGCGTCCAGGGAGACGGCCTTCACACACGCGATCACAGCCGCTGGAGTATCGCTGTCAGTGTCCCGAGCGTGCAGGGACGGAAGACTTGCCAGCTGCGGCTGCAGCAGGGCTGCCAGGCCGAGGAATTTACACAACGAGTGGGTGTGGGGTGGCTGTGGTGACAACTTGGAGTATGGCTACAAGTAAGTTACATTTGAAATTACCAGAGAGAGAGCTTTTGAATTAATTAATTAATATATTTTATTTGCATTATGTGATTATTTAATGTGGCGACCATGTGTAAACGCAGTGTAAAACGACCCTCCCCTCCACTGGATGGAGTGAGGGCCTCAAAAGCATTATAGGGAGTCAGTGGATGCAGGTGGCTCAGGACCATTCCTTATGGCAGTCTATGAGAGACGCCTATGTCCAGCAGTAGACGGATGATGGCTGAAATAATGATGATGATGATAATGATTTGCATTATGCATATATTGTATTCTCAGTCTCCATTACTAACAATCCCTTTCTCCCCACTTTTCTGAATATTAAACTTACCAAATTGTTTATGAAATAAAAGGCAATAAATTAATAGAAAAATCAATTAAATGAACCATTTCTAAGATGACGTATCAAGATTAAACATGTACCAGCTTTTAAATTAGACCTTTAGAAACACAACTGCGAAAATCGGGGGGGGGGGAGGGATTGTTAGTAATGGAGACTGAGAATCCCATTGCTAGCAATATACCCAACCAGGTCGACCTCCTCGCAGTTCTCTCTGGAAACTATCGTGGTTAATTACTGATGAATTCATCATGATGGGCTAACTGGTCTGTTTTCATTCTCATCTATCACCCTTCACTGGTGCTCCGCCAGCGTATCCCGTTAGCGCAGGCAGGGTTACCATACCATTTTCACCCTTAAAAAAAAACTGTGAAAATCGCATCTAATTTGGTGTAGTAATTTTTGCGTGACGCCGAAACATACAGACAGAGAGACAAAATCTCTAAACAATATTATTTTAAATATTATATATATATATATATATATATATATATATATATATATATATATATATATATATATATATATATATATATATATATATTAAATATTATTATTAAATATCTCCCATGTACAGTTATTACTCCCATGTAAACTGTATACTAGAGTATACAGTTTAATTATTTTATTATATTATTTAATTATAATTATCCCTCAAGGGGAGGCTTATTTTTGGCAATGGACAGTTAGAAGCTGATATGATGATAAAATTTTTTATATAAAAAACATTAATATAAAAAAAACTAATGAAGTTAACATCAAAGTAAATAATTGCTTACAATTATCATTATGGACTAAATACAATATTATTATTGTTACATTAAGGAAGCGCAAATTGTATCAAATATATGATATTTGATACAATTTGCGAGGAAAGGTTGTTGAGGACTATTTAACGATAGTACCAACGATTTCTGTAAACCTAGTACTTGAGATGCGATTATACCTTTTTCAGCGACGCTTTGTATTTCCACGACATACAAGAGAGGAGAGAGTATGTTCAGTATGCCCTTAATTTTGTGTTTATTATTTTCTTTATTAAAAGACGATTTATACACAATTTTAAATCGATATTTGAGACAATCAGTTGTATATTAATCAGATGATAAATTAAATAATACTTCAATGATTTTATTTGAAATTTAATCACAAAATAAATTAATAGTACATTTTGATACGTACTTACAATAAAAAAACTGCATTTATTGCACTACATTGAGAAATGAAATCGACTAAAGTAACATAAAATGACTATACAAGTTCAATTTCAAGTTTTCTACTTCATTATTTACTTACACTAGTACTTATTTTATCTGTGCCTAGAACTAGTAGAAATTCAATAAATGTAAGTAAAATATCCAGATACCTATGTTCGCCTTATACCGTCTACTATAATCTATTACAGTATCAACACTTTTCCTTGAATTCTAGTAGTAGTAGGAATTGTAGTAAATCCTTTAGAATACCTACACCATCTTATGCGTTCCTACTGAAAGATTATTATTTTATTTAAATACGCCTCCCAACTGTGGAATGGGAGCAATAAGGTTGTATCTATCTCTTTACGGTTTATGCGAGCCTAGTATTTTTCCCCCACTTTATCGAAATTTTCCCCGCAGAAAAATCGCAATTTCCAAAGAAGAAAGTCGATGAACCATTTCTCATTGTATAGAAGAAAAACAGCTTTATTTTACTAGTGACATCTGTATTATGTGATGATTAATTTACATTTATCTTTTGAATATGTTTTATAAAAATTAAAATAATTGAATAATAATATGAAATTTAATGCAGTACCATAAATAATATAATATAAAGAAATTATGTCACACACACACACACACACACATTTACTACTAAACAACAATTAGTTATTTTTTTTTGCGTTACGGTGTATTGCGTACAATATCGTACAAATAAACCGTTAGATCCATCACCATAAATTATTCTTATGCCGTCACCATGGCTCTTACACCTGAAAATAGCTGAAACTCAGGTAAAACTCACCTGCTTCACCTCTTACCTGCGTACTAGGATTGCAACGGTTAAGTGAAGTTACTTCACCTGAAAACTCACACAAACGAACACATTTCAATGTGTGAAATATAAGGGAGGTGAAGGTGACAGGAAATTTCCCTTCTGCGGAAAAGAGACGTACTATTTGTTTCTCCTTCACACTTTTCCACAATACACCTGTATGAATGTATTTTATAAACGTACTGTTAGCACCTGAAATTTCCGTAGTTCCGTAGGTAAATTTTCTCCTGCAATTCTCTTCTACCCTGGTACTCAGGTGAGTCGTAAGACAGGTGAAAAATTTATGTACTTAACTTTGTGTATGAAACTACGTCTCTTTCTTACCTGACCTTTTTAAATGTAAAATAATAATAAGCTAATACAACCCGTATAGAATAATTTGATTGTACATTATAAATTTTTTATAGAAAATCTTTAAATGTTTCAAGGTATTCTTTACCGTTGAGATGAACATGTTTTATTTTAATTTATTATTTTTATAAATAATACTACTTATTTTTATTAATAATCATATTATAAAAAATATTTACCAGCAAACTCACTTCATTAATTCATTATTTATATTAATGTAATTATAAAAAGAAAAGAAAGAAGAAGGATCTGTGTAAAAAATTGAGAGTAATTCGTAATTAATCAGCTGTCAGTTGAGCTTCACACGGGTGTCAAAGCATGGCTAAAGACAGGTCGGCTACTAGATCAACATAAACGCTGAAGAGTTTGGAATATTTTGAAAGCAGAATAGGTACTTCCAATACTACGGTGCGTAACTACGTGGTAGCATAGCCCGTAAAACACCTCCTACGGGTGTGTGCATTCCTAAGATTTTTTCACGTACTGAAAGGGTTAGACCGCCGCTGAAAACGGTTGAATTGATGACATTTTTATTTTATTCAGTATACGATATAATGGGAGTTCATGGATAAAAAATAAAATACCGAAAATTGGCTATTTCATCTACAGGGTAAATTTGATGTTTAGCATCCTTTTTCCCCCCTTAAAAGATGTCAAATTATTTCTATTTCAGCCTATCAAAATTAATATGACATTCTTAGCCCATCGCAAAAAGAGGAATATTATAAGTTTTGTTCGTGTGATGATGTCGTAGTAAAACGGATAGACTGCTTTTAATGAGGTTTTATATTATTTAATACATATTTTTATTGGGTTTGGTTCTGAGCTATTATGTATTTATACTCGTCACAGACTACCTAATAGTATTCTAATAAGGTTCTATAGATTACCGTAGACTAAGATTGATTATAACATTATTATTATATAGGTAACTATATTTAATCAGAACTCTCTCAGCCTAGAATCGCAGTTAATTATCTTCAAACCATTATCTGAAAAAATGTCTAAAGCTCAAAATAAAAACGTATTATAATATGAAATATAGGATGCTTTTTTTTATGCAACTTAGAAAGCTGACGGCTCACCTGATGGAAAGTGGTTACCGTCGCCTATAGACATGAGCAGTACCATGGACATAACAGGATATACTGTTTCGCCCATGATACCCCCCCCCATGCGTTGTGTAGTGTTGTTTAGTACATAACGTCATAGTCGTGTAAAATAATATAATGTAGAATAACGCCATCTTTGGGATATTTAATGTAATAACCTGAACAATTAAATTTTTTATTTAATAAATTACATTTTTAATTTAATAGTTAGATAAACTATCAAGTTTACAGACCACCTTAGAGAACTAAATGTAAGACACTGTTTTATTATAAAAAAATAATTATACATATTGTTTTTTTTTTATTATAAATTTATAACATACTTGTCCTTAAAATATTAATAACATCGTTGTAATATCTAACTGTTAGTTTTAGAAATAGAGTTGCAGTGACGACGTAATTATTACGGAACAACAGGGCGAAGTTACATTAGTTCGTTCCCAGTTAAATAAAATTGTAAAATAAAAAAAAACCACACAACCCGCTGTATTTTTTCATGATGCGCAGACAATTACCAGGATTTAATGAAACATCAGCAGGTCTCCATAAACATTGAAACAAATTTCCATTTTCTTTTTTTTTTTTTATAAATGTAATTTCAGGAAACGTAAGAAACAATAAACTAAGTTATTTGTTTTTATGGCTTTCATTTTCACAAAAACATGGAATTTTCTGCATATTTCGTGTCGACGTGGTTAGGGCCACATGAAAGCAAAGAGCATTTTTGTTCAAGCGCAGGTGAAAGCAACTTTTTTTTACAACGAACGATAAACGTTCTTGCTGTGTATATTTGACGGCGCTTTAACTGTATTGAAACGTCACACATTTGAGGCTGCGCTACTAGGGTATTAGAAGTTACCAGAAGTCACCACAAGGAATATCGGAAAGGTCGCTATTGCACGGATGGAGAAAAATATTCACTACTACATCTATATTTGCGGACTGCTAAACATGTTAAAGTTACTAATAATGTATGTAGTGAGGTCAGTGACCATCTAAAATGGCATCTATTGGCGGCTAGGAAGCCAATCTGAAAAAGTTCTATAATAAAAACAAGCAAATATACACGTGATTCACTGATACATCTACATTCTTTGAATTAGCACCTCACTCTTGGTATCCTTTAAAACATAGAACATTCATTCTAGTATTGAAATGCAAAAACTAGTCGGTTATTTAGACTCAGCGGACTTAGCTGTTTCAAGCAGGTTTCAATGAAGGACAATCCATAGGAATAGAAAAATATTAAAATAGCGAGCCCATTGCTGTTCATTACGAATCGGAACTTTTTGTCATTTAATTTAATTTCATTATTTATTTTTTTAATTTTACTTGCATTTGGATTATAGCAGTCACTTGTTAACTAATAATTCTCATTCGAAATAGTTTAAAATAATAGCAAATCTCTTAGTTCTGCTATTAGAGTATTAAGTTCCAGTGAATCTATTACAGTTTGCATTGACACATAACTCCGAAATTAGAAATACCAAAATTTATAACAATATATGGATGAATGGGTGAATTTTTCTTACTCATTCACTCAAAAGCTACTGAACAGATTTGAATGAAATGTAGTACATGGATAGGTTATATCCTAACTTAAAGCAACTTTATGAACTGGTTCACGTAGACGAAACCACGGGATATAGCTAGTAAATAAATAAATGCCTGAATTTCATGCCACATTTCTAAGACAATGGCTTTGCAAAAATCCGGGCCTTAGTTACTAGGACTCTATAGATTATAAACAGGTTTAAAAATGCATATCAAATACGGGTCGAATGGTACAAAAAAAAATTGCCAAGCTCAGTGAGCACGAAAGAGACAAAACACGAGCTTTTTAGATTAGAATACGTCGATACTTTTTAAGTTTTTTTTATATACTTTAAAAAAGCGTTTCCGATTTGTCTGTTTGAATTTTCTATACTGGGAGAGCATGTTTCGTAACAGTTGGGGAATGATCGGTATGCGACCGAGGAGTGTTTTCAGGATTTCGCTAAAAGGAATGATACGATTCACTTACATAAAGGAGATTTTCCCGCATTTGAGTATTTCTGAAACCAGGCCCACATAAGTGACTAAAGACGGCTAAGAATGTTAAGAATGCGCGGTATGTTTGGAATGCATTCCAGGGGTAATCTTCGGGGTCGGATCTTTGTAGAATTTTCGTGATCACTCGAATAATCGGATACTTAATATGTATAAAAATTTAAATAATTGTATTGTATGGAAATTTTCTATCTGACAAGAATAGTTTATAACTATTATTCAGATTAATGATTGATTTAAAAATTGTAAAATAATGTTTACTACACAAATATAAAAAGGTAGTTAGTTTATTTATTTTAAGTTATGCAGGTAGCTCAGGACCGTTCCTTATAGCAGCATATGGGGGAGGCCTATGTTCAGTAGAAGACAGATAATGTCTGATATGATGATGATGATGATGATGATGATGATGATGATGATATGTAAATAAACACTGGCTGATTAAATTGTTTTTTATTTTTATTTTTAATCATTCTTTTTCCTATATCACTTCCATGTATATTTGATTTGAGACCAAATTAATTTTTGAACTATTTAAGTTGTTATTTTTAAAAGAAGCTGTTTATTACCTATATTTTTCAGAAATAGCTGAACAGAGAGAGGATAACCTGCGACTCTGTCCCGGATAACCCGAGTTAATGCGCTAAGAATGCTTAAATCCGTTACCGTTTACTAAGACGGCATAGGTTGCAAGTGATAGTTTATCCGGATGTAGTGGCTTACACGGTTATACCAATTTCAGGTTACATTCTTTTAATGTACTTAAATAAAAAAAAAAAACTCGTTAAAATTATGTAATTTTTCGTATACTAATTTCTGACATTTCTATCTTAGATATTTATAATGATTTCAAAGTATTTATACACGAAACAAGGCTATGGTACCAGGAGCAGAAAGTAAAGAGGTTAACTGAGCCTCAACACACCCTCCGAATTCAAGTACAATTAAAATTATGCTTCGACCCCTGAACATAAGACTGTTTTTATTAAAGCGTTTATATAAATCAATAAAGCGAACGTAGACCCTTCGTAGCGGTTGGCGTAGAGTTACGCAAATGCTCACAGATAGCTATCCTTTTTGGTCATGATGTCTCTTTCTTCCATTTATTTATCTATGTATATAAAATTTAATTGGCACTCGTTGGTCTCGCTAAAATTAAAAAACGGCTTTAATGATTTGAATAACTTTTATTTGTTTCGTTCGTTATAATACAGGAGTGGTTTAAAAGAAAAAAAAGTTAGAAAAACCCAGCTTTCAGCTGAAAAAACGAAATATTAAGCATACCTAGGTAATTTAAATGGAAATCGCTATTTCGGATTATTTTTAATAGATGGCGTTGTAAGTTATACAAAGTTCACCGGGTCATTTAGTTCGGGAATAAAATAATTTAATTTGTTTTTTTAATTTAAAATATTTTTCTTTTTTATCTACCTTTTTATTATATCTTGACTTAATTCTCCATAGACATTGATATTATAGACATAGACAACTTAATAATTATTAAAGAAATCAGCTCTAAAAACAATTTATTATCTATACTTATAATAAATCCGTAGAGAGGTCAATTCTGTACATGAAATATATTTCCAAAATAACTATCAGGGGGTGATTATTGATCGATACTGATGCCAAAAATGCAATCAGTAAAATTTTTGTCTGAATATAATTATTATACCCAAATTACGTTGACGTCAGGCAGGCGGCCGGTCGTAAAACTATGAGCTAAATCTTTTTGTAATATGGATAAAAAACATATTACGCCGACCCCAAATAATAGGTGGGATAAGGGTAGGAAGAAGAAGAAGATTATTATTGTTATACCTATCTCAGGCACGAGTCTCTCACAATTATATTTATAATTTGATTACTTCAATATAAGCATGTCTCATTGTATCTCACTGTAATGAATTGTGAAGAGAAAATAAATCTATTTATTATTATTTATTACTATTATTATTAATCAGGTTCACGGAAGGATTCGTCGACATCCGCGAAAGGGAGAGGAAGGTGAAGCGCGGCAGCCGGGAACAGGGGCGTCAGCTGATGAATAGGCACAACAACGAAGCTGGAAGACGGGTATGTACTTGGTGAGGTTTAATTAGATCTCCGTAGCACAACGACAGACATATTGCTTTGCTTAATAAAGTCCCAGGTTCGATTCTCAGTTAAGCCAATTTAAACAAGTCAAATTTAATTTGTTGCATAACAATTATGTTCCATAAGAAAGCAACTTCAATGTAGCATAATCAGTTATTTTGACTTGAAGAATAAATTACTGAACCGATATTGATAAAATTTCTATGGGACCAATTTGTAAGTGTATCCTTTCAGATAAAAAAAAATATAAAACGCTTTACAACTGACGGAGTTATGAGGTAATAAACATAGAAAATACAACTTAATTAATAACCTCCTTTTTTAATGTCGGTTAAAAATATGGTACAATAAGATGAGTTTAGGCTTCACACATTTTACCGCTATGAAGTGGCGTGCAACATGTCTTTAAGTAGTTATATATTTTGGTGTTTGTATGCACGTATGTATGTATGTATATGTGTATATATTAATAAGTAGGATTATATATTTATATTATTGCATGTATCACAACTCCATATTTAAAAAAGATAGAATTTTCATTATTAATAATGCCGAACATTAGTCGCATTGCTAGCAATATACCCAGTCAGGTCGACCTCCACGTGGTCCCCTACTGGAAACCATCGTGCTGAATTCCTGGTGTATTCAACATGATGAGCTAACTGACCTGCCTCTTCATCCTTATCTATCATCTCTCACTGTTTTGTCATCCTTGGCATCCTCACCTATCATTCGTCACTGGTGCTCCGCCAGCGTATACTGTAAGTGCAGGCGGGGTTACTATTCCATTATCATGCATTGAAAAAAAAAGTTGAAAGAGCATACATATGAGCATCATTGGTATTGACGTATCACAGTCTTATAAAAATTTTATTTCATAAAAAAAATTACTTCAATTATAAATTATATATATTTTTTAATTATTTATAATAATATACCACCCCCAATAAGATTGTCTAAAACTAAACACATTTTAAAAAAAGAACTTATAATTTTTTTTAATTAATAAACATAAAATTGGCATACCTAATAGGTACGTAGCGGAAATATTTATTGCCTGAATACCTAAATGTGACAGAGAATGATCTCTGACTACCCCTCATCTAATGATATCTGTTATTTATTTATTTATTTAGAATATAATGTCAAATGGAGGCGAATGTAATTGACACATACAATGCAGTTTATTTATATTTCTCTTTATTGTTAGTTTTAATGAGGAGTTTCGCGACTGACTCTTGGCCACAACAGAATATCAGTGTTTTGCTCTTTTAAGGGCAAAGCAATAAACTGAGTTGTGACCATTTTGTGTTACTATGGCACACGCATGAAGAAAGAGAAAGAAAGGAGATTGTTAGTTTATATATTTTGTGTTTTTTTTTTATTTATGCTTTTTTATTTTCATTATTTTATCTCTTTTACTGTGTATTATGTGTATGTTTTTTTTTTTATTGTAATTTGTGTGTTGTAAGTAATGTAAATAAATTATTTATCTATCTATTTTTGATATATATTTTATTGGCATCTTTTTTACCAGTACAAATATACAGTTTATGCGACATAAACTAGTTTTATTGTTCAATCCAATCGCAGGTATATCGTAAGAATTACAAGCAGATACCAAGTCGAATAGTCGCTCTCAGTTTTACAAGTTTCTATGAACTATTAAATCCGACTTATAAGAAATTAGTTGCCACTGACAGACGCTGTAAATATCCAATGAGTACTTAATCCGTATTTAGAGAGCGGTTTAAGGGATTAATTTATTTATACGTGGGGTCATGAGTACGGCGTATCTCGAGATATCTCACTTATTTATATTTATGATTTTAATTGAAATTTCAAAAGAAAAAGGCCTTTGGTACAATACTATTCAGGCTGAACCTCCACATATTCCTTGGTTTTGTGGAATTAAAATCAATAGGTACAGTATTAAATTAGCTGTTCATCTACGATCTGGTCATTATCCATCAAAAAAATTTGCACATATTATGGGCAAGTCCTTGTCACCTCATTGTCAAACTTGTAATACCATCGATGATGTGCATCATATTCTATTAGAGTGTCGTATTAACATGAAGGAAAGAGAAGAATTCATGCGCCACTTTAACTTAAATAAATTTAATGTTGGTCTTATTCAATCTATGTTAGCTGAACTTAAACCAGAAATTTTTGAACATCTCTGTAAATTATTGATGCCCATTAATTCTTCTCTGTCCGCGTCTAGGGAAAGTAGATAAAGTTTTGTTTGAGAAATCAGTTCAGGGTACAATAGGACTGATATACCTAAAAAAGATAACAGCCCTTAAAATAAAATAAAAAAAAAAATTGCTGTTATACGCACGTGTCAGAATTAAATATTAAACAACTGCAGGGTAATAGATTTATATAGTAATTTAATTACGTAATTATAACTTTAAATGGTATATGTATATAATATATTCTTTAGCAATATAAAGGTTGTAAGCCTCTTGATAATAAATAGAAATAAAGCACAGGTTCACTTAGTTCATTTACTTTACATATCATACTATTAAATCATATATTTACTTATTTCACTTTGTATTTGATATATAACAAATAATTAAATATATATAAATTAGTGTTCTATATACATTACAAGAATAATTTATAAACAAATTTGGTATAATAACAATTTTAACGTTATATTATACTTAAGGTAGTTAGTCTGATTTTTATTAATAAATGTAGGTACACATTTTAATAATATATCAATATAGTATCTAATCGATATAAATACAGATATCAGACTGATATGGGCGATATCGAAATAGTCCAGAGAAACTTGATATATAGATATTGGAGCGATACCGATATTATCCATGTCTTTAAATAAAGTTTAGTTATACAGATACTAGATATTTTGATATGATATATTCTACTGTTATACTACCTAGCAAGGCTGAGTGAAGAGGGTTTGTTAGTTATGGGGTAACTGCCCCATTTCTAGCAATACAGGGTGTATTGTGGGGTATCAGATCGACCTTCACGCGATAATCAATGGAAAACATCGTGGCTAATTCTAGTGGAATTCGTCACGATGGGCTAACTAACTTGCTTTCGTCCTCACTTGTCATCCCTTACTGGTGCCCTGTTAACGTATACCGATAGCGCGGGCGGGAATACCATTTCATTATCACCCATTAAAAGACCTTATTATTATGACGTCATCACTTGAATTAAATTGGATATTTTTTAATTATTTTCACGAGTAAAATTTATTTTTTTAATAATTATCAGTATCTAATATCGTATCATAATCTCATTATCATCACAAAAATATTTTTTTTAATTAATGAGAATTGGCAACACTTCGGTATTATGACATTGTCTTGAGTATACGTGTACAACTATGTAGTAAAGTTAATATTTATACCAATTAAATACGTATCGAAATATTCGCGAACGCTCATAACATGAGCTGTTAAAATCGCTGATGTTATAGCTTCTCGTTGCTATATCAACGTCGTCCCTCAGTACAATAAAATAGGGCATTAATTCAGATTATATGTATAGGCATTTTGTAAGTATTACGCGCAATATGAACGTTGTGGTCGCTGCGCGCTAATCTTCTAGAACATCACACAAAATGCGGATAATAGAGAGGGTCTACCATGAAATATCTTCTGAAATTTCGGGACCGTACGAAACAAAAATTTGATGTTAAAATACATGTTACATACTATTTAAACATATTAAAAATGTTCAAATATCATTCATTTGTACTTTTATGGTAGAATTCATACTACTTTTATGGTAGGATTTGTACTGTCTTGCCATCCTCACCTATCATCTCTCACTGGTGTCCTGGCAGCGTCTACCGCTAGCGCAGGCGAGATAACTATTTCATTATCATCCATTAAAAAACTCTCTTATTCATAAAAAAAAATTAAAACTCTAAAAAACCTATTTAACCATTTTGTCTCTTTCGTTTACGCTACGTTTTCAATTTGAATCAAAGTGACAAAACACTGTAATATTTAAAGCAAGCTTGTAAGAGATTTTAGTTTATATGAATAAGGCAATAATTTTACAACATAGGGGACAAACGGCTCCATACAACTCATTAACAATAAGTTACAGATAACCCATAGAAATCTGCAATATGAGAGGAATTGTAGACCTTTTAAGAAGAATATGGTCTTTTCTTGAAAGTCCCAATGTCATTTCTGTTACAAAATACTACTGCTGAAAATATGTTCGGAAATATCTTATTGCTCGTTTATCCCATTCGTGGTGTGAAAAGTAAATTGTTTTTTTCCAGGCTGTAATAAAGAAGTCGCGGGTCACATGCAAATGTCACGGTGTGTCGGGATCCTGCAGTCTCATCACATGCTGGCAACAACTTGCATCACTACGGGAGATTGGTAAGGATGCTTAATTGTCTATCTTCACGTCAAGACCTTTATTGGCAGAGAAAAGCAAGTTACAAAAACCTCTATCCTCACATATGTCTCTTGCATCATCTTGCAAGATGCATGGCAACATCTGCGAATTACTAATAACCTTACAAGTATAAGTAACACTTAATTCCTGCTTATCTAACTCTTATCTTCCTTTATGTAACTCTAACCCCATCTATGTGGGGGGGAAAGGATTGTTAGTAATGGGAAGGTAAGTCCCCATCGCCATCAATTTACCTTATCAGGTCGACCTCCACGCGGTTCCCTCTGGAAACCATCGTGACTAATTTATCATTGAATTCGTCACGATGGACTAACTAACCTGCCTTTTCATCCTCACCAATCATCTCTCACTGGTGCCCTGCTAGTGTATACCAATAGCGCAGGCGGGGTTACCATTCCATTATCATCCATAAAAAAAACCCCATCTGTGTTCAGTGGATGAAAATAAAATTATAACCTCACTAGCGTCACTAATTTACGATGGCCAGGAACCACTCAGGGATGATAAGTGAGAATGAAGTTGTTATGACCTGCAGTTGGCCTATCATGATGACTGCAGCAGGAATTAATCACGATAGTTTCCAGAAATCGCCGCATGGCAGTTGTTCTAACAGCCACACAGCTAATAGCCCCGTTGCTAGGAATATCAGAAGGTTTACATGCAAACCCCTTAGAAACCGTGATAGGTTTCTAGTGGATTTCATTACTAACAGCCAACTGGCTTAGTTTCATTCTTATGTACTCTCACTGGTATCTCGTAAGCGTATATTGAGAGCGCATGCGGTGTTACAATTTTATAATCATCTATAAAAAAAAACTATAACCTGTAAAAGAAAGTATATAAGTAGGTAAAACATGAAAAATCCATTTAAACTATTTCAAACCCGTTAATTTCTTATTGCGACATAGTTTCGTTTAAAGTCGTGTTCACGAATAGCTAAATTTATTTATGACCCTATATAGCTTATTAAAGAGGTTACATTCTGTTTACGAGCTACCGACTGTCTCGGTGTTGCCATTAGATTCAAATAAAATTATCATTCTTATAATTTATTATTAGGTCACTTTAATTTTTATTGGTCTCTACTCATGTATATTTAATGTTTCTTAATTTTTTGGGTGGTCTTTTTACTATTAATAACTGAGATATATGGTTTTTTTTTTAATATACTTTGATAATATTATACAACTTATTTTTAATCTTAAACTAAGTTGATAATTTTATACCTCTGTTCAAAATTCCGAGGTCCATATGCATTATAAAAACCTAATTAATTGCTTACATTTCATTTAAAACATTTTTTATTCGAAACGACGTAGGTCTGTCTGCCTTTGACGCAAACAAATAATAGCGTCCCATGGCATAATTAAAACTATTCAGTTAATTATACGAAATCAGTAAAAAAGTACCAGGCCAACATAAATTAATGGTACACCTAATGACCACACACATCATTAACTGACCCGGACATTTTCTTACACAATGCGCGCCCATTTATATGTCGATTTGTTTAATTGTTGGCGATTTTTATTCACATCGGGATAATAGAGGATTTAATGTTCTGCATGTCCTATACTCTGTCCGTTGTATTAGCTTGCGGGTGATGGCTCCTTTACTTCTTTTTCTTTTAGAACCCTTACTAATATCTACTACTTAAAATAATTCGAATGTTAATTTGTAACTGTTGGCGTACTAACAGTTCTAACATTTGTCATGACTTTCGACACACAGATAATAAAGAAGAATATAGAATTTCTTTCGTTACGATTTATAATATTTAATTTTAAATATTAATGAAATATAGTTTTGACATTAGGTATATAATATATATAAATAATAAACTAATATTATAAAAAGGAAAGATTTGATTTTTTACTTATCTAAAGCGATCCCCTAGGATATACCTCGAACACTTTCAACTTAGTATTTTCGATTAAAAAATAATCAATAAAACGATTAACAATTAATAAAGTTATACGTAACATACTATCAGATTGATCCTTTAAATTCGATAACTAAATACTAAATTTAACTAAACAGCTTACTATCTAAAATAGAAATTAATGTAGAAAACATGCAGTGCTATGAAAAAATTGTTTTGATTTGTTATCAATATGTACGCAAGCCCAATGTCTGATATTAGTGCGTTAAGCCCACAACCCAACAATCAACCTGTAAATTACAGGGCATGTTGAATTAATAACAGTTATTAATTTATTTCATTCGTTCCGTAGTTACACAATGCGCGCCATTGGACGCGTAAATCATCCGCCTACAACGCAAGCAAAGGAATCAAACACATTCAGCCATAATTTTTAGTTTCTTTACCAAGAATTACACACCTGTATTCTACATTCTCAATTTTCACAATTCTCATTCAATCTGTTTGGCCATGACGCGCATGTTATTTTGCCAGTTTTTAATGCTTTCTGTTTTTCTAAATTGTTATATGTATAATTCTAAGTTATTTTTCTGTACTTTTAGTGACCAGTCATTAGCAGTATGATGTAACACGCAAAGTATAAGTAAATGGCCAGAAATTTACTTTTAGAAAATCATCTATAACCTCTTATATATATATATATATATATATATATATATATATATATATATATATATATATATATATATATATATATATATATATATATATATATATATATATATACACATACACCAACACTTGAATAATAATAAGAAAATACGTATCTATCGTGATACAATTTCAATGACTGGATAATATTGTAAATGACCTGACGCTTGGCTAGACAAGCTGATGGGAGGTGGATGTAGATGGTATCGGAATGGTGGCTCAGGAACATTGGCATGGGATCGTACGGAATAGGTAGATGTTAGCTAATATGATGATATTGATAATGAGCTATAGCACAGTTATGATTGTGGTGAGTACGTATCAATAATTTAGGACAGTTCTGAGTATTCTGAATTATCATCATTTCAGCTATTGTCTGTCCATTGCTGAGCATAGGCCTCTTCCATAGACTGCCATAAGGAACGCGAGCGTGCCTTTTTGCTAGTAGTTGTCACGCTTGGCAAGTGGGTTGGCAACTGCGATTTGAACTATGGTGGTGTTTTAAGATGGATGCTGCTGCCCATCCCTCGACAATTAAGTCCCCTTAGTTGTCCCTTACGACACACACGTGAAAGAAAGTAAAAGCTGTTTCTATACCGAAATCACGCAGCTATTCAGTATTATGCTACCATCCAAATGTAGGAAAATATACATAAATGTTAAAAAAAATTCTTAAATATTAAACTTATTTTTTTTTATGATTTAACTGCAATTTATATTATTGATTTATATGTGCAAATTAACTGTCTATTTTGTGCTCGTCACTTCTATAGGTAATTTATAAAAAAAATATTATTTTCCCTTTGTTTCAGGTGATTATCTTAGAGACAAGTATGATGGTGCGACGGAGGTGAAAGTATCTCGTCGTGGAAAACTCCGACTCAGCAATCCGCACTACAGCCTGCCCACTGCCCAAGACCTAGTTTATTTAGAGGACTCCCCTAACTACTGCGTCAAGAATTCCTCGCTGGTAAGTTAAAAACATGCTGATATTATAGCAAAAAAAATAATTTTAAGAAACGTTCAGTGTCTACCTATAAAATTAAGTTTACAAAAATGACGAATTAAATCTGAATGATTTATTTTTTTATTTCAAATTTTTTTTCTTTCTTTTCACTTATTAGATATTTTTAGATTCATAATTTTTACGCAAACATATTTAAACGTCATTTTTCTTCGCAAACGGGTCCCATACATAAAGCTTAGGCTTTAGATCGCTAGAAGTTTGAACTCTGCTAGACTTACTTTTTTTAACCAGCCTTATATGACGTTTGTTTTGTCAAAATGTTCCTACCATTGTATAAAATCTATTATATGGAATATCCTTATATAGAGCATTGAGTCTCAAAAACGGATCAACTTTATATCAGCTGATTGTTTAATTACTCGTTATTTTTATCAATGTTCTTGTCTCACACACAATGTATCTTGACATTTCTATATTTAGTTATTTTAATTATAAATAAAATGGGTTTTTACGTATCAAAAACATGCAGAAATTATAAGACAAAATATAGAAGTATAACTTCTATTACTCATAACTATTTATCACGCAAAATTGTATAAAAAAAATTTAGCCGATTTTCTCGGAGCATTTGTTCGGAGACTATCTATACAATGTAAAAAATGACATATTTGTAATATCCGCTACTTTTTGTGTATCGCACATACTATCCTTAATCTATGAAGTTTACTACTTTTACTTTATCTTTTTACTTGCTAGATATTTTGATGTATATATTAAAGACATGCGAGATCAAAACTAACACTGAAAACATCCTTTTTGGACAATAAACATATTGACATTTGATAATTTCGCAGGGCTCCCTGGGGACAACCGGCCGCGTATGCAACAGGACGTCAGCGGGAATAGACGGGTGCGCGTTACTGTGCTGCGGCCGAGGATACAACACTAAGCGGACCACGGTCAGGGAACGATGCGGCTGCAAGTTCCACTGGTGTTGCCATGTGCGGTGCAACACGTGTGTGAAAACGACCGAGATATACACTTGTAAATAGTGGCGTCTCTTACTAACTGGAACATGTTTATCGTCACATTATTTCGCCACTTGTTTAAAGAGGGTATCTCAATATATTGTTATGATTATTAATCAAGTTTAAATATTTAAAATTTAAAATCAATGATGTGATAATTTATTTGCATAGTACTTAGATATGTTTTTGGTTGCGATTAAAAGAAGCAAACAAATTTTATCTATTAGTTCTTTAGTATCTTTACGCAACGATGCCGAGAAAAAGGTTTTATAGGCCTCTAACGTCCATTTTTTTTTAAAGATTCACTCAAATAGAATTCCTCATTTTACAGATCTTCAGGATTTCAGAACGATATTATGTAAGCATTAATACTAGATAAGTACTCATGTTAAAGTAAAGAAAGTAATAAGAACAGTATATGTATGTATAATAGTAAAATTCTAAAGTAGATTTCTATGACAACTGTTTTTAAATCAAAACATTCCAAACACAGTGAAAAGTGTTACATGTAATATAAACTGAGTAGATGTACTTAATTGATAGTTATTTATTAATTTTCTCAAATATAATCTCTTCTTAATAAATAATTATAAACCTTTTTAAAAATAAAAAGGTTTATAAAGTAGACGATAGATAAAGAAATCTTGCCAAATTTGTATTTGATGTAGTAAGTATAGTACTAACTTTCTTCTAATTTGTAAATAATTATTATTATACTTATTATTGAAATGTCTAAATCTTTCTATTCCAAGTAACGATAATAAGCTCCAGATATGAAAATTACCCTCGGAATCTACTTCTCTATTTGCAAAAACGAAGTGTCATTTTTTTGGTTCTGTTTTCCCTATCAATAGGGAAGGCAAAAGGACTAAGTCTATACATCTATCATCTTCAGTAATTTCCGATGTTAATTTTTCCTACATTATGGTATATCAGAGTTCTTTAAACGAAATACCATTTGGTGACATTTGGTATACTATATTAACAATGTACGTATTTCAAGATGTTCAAGTTTTAAACTCCCAAAAAAGATATACAACCGCATTGAGAACTTCCTTCTTTTTAAAGTCCGTTCATAAAGACGATAACGTCCCTCGTTGAATGTCGAAAACTTCCATAGACGAAGACAATCAGGTCGCTATGTTTTTTTTTTCAATCGACCTCTAAAAAGTCTTTAATTTGTGTATATTTTTTTTTTATGTTTGTTACCTCATAATTTCATCAGTTGTAAACCGATTTGAAAATGTCTTTTTTATTTAAATAAATATACTCACAGATTGGTTACATAGAAATTTTATCTAAATCGGTTCTAAATATAGTTTAGTTTTTAAATCAAATTTAACAGGTTTTACCATAATTAAAGTCGGTTTTTAGTAGAAATCTTTTTAATTATTTTCTTCTAATAGCAGCAGGGCTGCCACAATATGATTTAGGTGTCTACAATTATTAATTTTATTTGTAAATAAATATATTAGAGGCTAATATATATAGAAGCTAAGATATTTTCTCAATTAAAGATCTCAACGTTTTATTAATTTATTTTTGCCTACCCTCATTACGTATGTCTTTTTATATTTTAATTATAACCAGTATTTTATATACATTATTACATAAATAACTATTAACATTATTACAAATCACATGTGTAAATTATATATGTAGACGTACAAAAATTATGAAGTACTATCATTCAGAACAAAAGGATATTCATTTCGGCGTTCCTCAAGGTAGTATTTTGGGACCATTGTTGTTTTTAATATATATCAATGATATGCCTAAAGTCATAAACTATCCAATAGTATTATTTGCGGATGATAGTACTATACTATTCAGTGCCAAGAACCTAAACAATTTTGAATCGGAAATAAACAACACTATAAAAGAGATTATACAATGGTTAGTTGACAATAATTTAAAAATTAATATAGGAAAAACTAAAATTATGACATTTGAACAAAGAATAGAACGTAATAAACTTGAAATTCAATATGCTGGACAAAAAATAGATGAAACGAACACGACAAAATTTCTGGGACTGTGGATAGATAATAAAATGACGTGGAAAATAGACATTAACAAAATATGTAGCAAATTAGGTCAGTACGCATTTATATATAAACTATATAAACTAAATAAAAAAGTTAACCAAAATACAGTACTACTGGCTTACCATGCTTATGTAACCTCAACAATACGCTATAGTATAATTTTCTGGGGCAATTCTACTGACCGAAACCTTGCTTTTAAAGCTCAAAAGAGATGTCTAAGGGCAGCTTGCAATATTAAATCGGTAGACAGCTGTAAGCCTCTATTCAAAAAACACAACATATTGACATTACCTGCGTTATACATTTTTGAGCTGGCGTTATTTGTTAAAAATAATTTAAATAAATATAACAAATTAAAAAATAATAGACAACACCACAAAATCATTTCAAAACAACATAGAACGACATTATTTACTAAAAGTGTCTTAGGGATGGCACCTAGAATATATAATAAATTACCTAAATCCCTTACATATATAGATGACATGAAAAAATATAAAACTAAACTGTATGAATACCTAGTAAACAGAACATACTATTCAATTGACGATTTCCTTAAAGATAAAAGTAATAAAGTTCCATAATTATATTTTTTTACTATAAATGTGACATTGCTCATTTTCCTTTTTATATAATATAATTTTTTTCTTATGTAATTGTAAATTTGTATACCTCGATAGATGGGGTTGATCATAGAGGACTTATATTGTTTTACCATCCATTGTTACCTATGTATCACAAAATAAATAAATAAATAAAATAAATAAATAAAAATAAATAACTTTTCTAAAATATAAATAATAACAGCATATTAATTATGTGACTTAGTTAAAATTCTCAGGGATATTACAAATATTATTATACTCGTATACCTACACTGCTGTGCCTTTTCAGGGCATCACAATATGTCTTTATGACTTATCTTGTGTAGGAAACTCTTATATATTTTTGTGATAACCCAATAAATGTATTGAATAATATATATTCTGTAATACTACAATTATATAAATATTACATTTTATAGCCAAATATACTATATAGTAGATCTTTCTTAAAGTGGTATCATTGTATTATTACGTTATGTTATCTATATTGTATCATTATAAATCTGCCAACTCTTTTTTCCAATAAACTAACAACAAAAAAACGTATTCTTTTTTTAAAAAAATATTAACTTCATAGTACTTCGAGCCGGATATTGAATGCTATTAATAAAAAAAAATCTGAATTATTATAATTGTTATAATCATATTCGGATTCTCATTTAACAATTTCCGATTATATAAATGTTTCTTTAAATCATACGTCTAGATGGAGTGCCTCCCTGAAGATACTCCGACGAAAGCTGCTTGTCTTTTAAAATAGCGCGCTTTAATTTTTTTTTTCTTATTTTTTTTATTTTTCACTATTTTTTTTTTATTAAATATTAATTAAAACAAAATTCAGATTTTCATACACCTTTAAAATATTGAACACAGCCAGTATGAAAACATGACACGTTGACTAATGGTTGTCGACATTTAAAGCTTCATCTAGTCGTAATAACATAATTATATGATCTAAAAATATTAGTTTATAGTTTGTCTATACCCTTTGATGTCTAGTTTGGAGGCAATAGATAAAAAATTGTAAATACTTATTATAGTTGTGGGTATTTTTTCTTGTATTACATTACTCAAATAAAAAAAAACATGGCTATTTTATTTCTAATTTATTTGTATTTAACTTATTTGTAACTACTATTCATAATCTTGCCCCTTGTGTATTTAAAGTATAATACATCAGTTATAATTTATCTGTCAAATTTACAGTTTTTGTACTTGAATCAAATATGTTTTTAAACGATATTTGAAAGACGAAACTGAAATGGAACTGACATCCGGAGGAGATAAATTGTTCCAGCATTTCGTGGAAGAATATTTAAAACTTCTTACTAATTTTGTAATACAGCTGCAGTGATGTGTTTTTTAGAGATAGAAACCTTAATATGCATTGAGTAGTTTTATCTACTATTTTTTCTCATCATCATCATCATCATGCCAGTTATTAACTGCCTACTGCTGAACATAGGCTTCTTCCGTAACTGGAGATTTTGCCAATAGTTGCCACGCTTGGCAGGCGGGTTGGCAACCGCCTTTAGGCTTAAGTGATGTTTTAAGAAGGATGCTGCTGCCCATCCCTCGACCATTAAGTTCCTTTAGTCGCCTCTTATGACACCTATGGAAAAGGAAAAGGTGGTCCATTATATACTGGGACCACACGGCAATATTTTTCTACTTAGTTCTAAATACCAAGAAAATGAAGAATAGCAGGTTTATTTCATTACTTTCAAGGCCAAAAATAAAGCGATTATGTCTAAGCTATATAAGATAAATATAAATAAATAGTGGAATAGTGTGGCACTTATTAATTATTAAACAAGTTATAAAGGAAATGCAGTTTCAATAATCCGAAATGATAAAATCTTTTCACGTCATAAGTAAGATAAAAATGCTTACTTGACTAAAATATCATTTGAACCATATAATTTGACCATATAGTATAACGTACTTATTCAACTACATTGTAATAATTATGTAGATACCTATGTACCTACGAAAATGATATCTAAGCTCGAACGCTTTATTCATAGATTATTAACGAGGCTGTATGGATATAGTTTCTTTGCTGGAGGAATAGATTTACAAAACCAAAGCTGCCAAAGTCTGGATTGAGTTTGTCAGTTTGACAGTTTTGACGTGCAACATTTTATCTGTTGCATTCCAGACAAAAAAAAAGGCATCATGGTCTCCGACCTTAGCTTGTTCCACAACGAAACAAATGTACTAAAAAAAAATATCAATTGTGAATGTTGCAATTAGTCTCTGTGCTTTTCTTTTTGTTATTTACAAACCAATGGGTTCTCTTTTAGACTTTTGATCTTAAATTATAATAAAAGCATAAATTAAAGTAATTGCTGACAAATAAAATATATCAGTTTGTTCATACAGTGCAATGTAATGGGAAAACCATCGAGTGCTCGACCTTCTGTTAGTTTTAATTTTAATAATCTTTAGTAGAACATTGTTAGTTATACCTGCATTTTTTTTTCTAAAATATCAATTTATACGTAGAAATATTATACTTTCATTGCTCATACAAAGTGTTCTTACGCTACGAATTGTAGCTAGTTCATAAAATTATATTTTGGTATACAAATTTTGTCATATTGAAAATCAACAACGACCTTTTTTTTTACAATTCCTTTTGACCTTTATGACAAATTATTTTGTAATATTATTACAAATAATTATTTTGCAATAAAGAAACACATGTTTCATCATACTATCTACATATAATGTATATATTTTTTTAAAGAATACCAAAAATTGATGTTTCGCTTTTGCACAAAAAACATTAAGGTAAAATGTCTATCGTATCGAAAATAATATCAGACTTTCTGTTGTTGATGTCAAAGTTCCATTTAAATTGTATACAAAATGTGATTGATATGAAAATGTGACCTTGATTTATTCCCAGAAATGTCCTTTATTCTTCCATCAGATTGTAGACACACTATATCAGACTGTACTAGCTACTCAAAAAACAGTTTTTGCATTTGGTTAGAGTAAATTTTTAGAATGCATTAGTGTCATTGATAACTTCATATGTACAAACTCACATTATGTAAAGTTTATTTATATAAGTAATTCATTTTAAATAAATCTATAATTTTTAGATAAAATTGTGATGACAGTACTATCTATGATAGATGTTTGTACAAACATCAAAAACTGTAGATTGTGTAGTTTTTTTTAGTTACATTTATAATTCTATTGTAATGTGACTGCTAATTCTAACAAACGTAAGTATTGTTATGTTAATTCCTTGATGTATTGCTTTTTTCTTGTCATACTCATCATGTCAGTCATTAACTGCTCCTACGTCTACTGCTGAAAACTCTGCCATTTTGTGGGTTTTGCCGTTAATTGCCACACTTCTCAGGCAAGTTGGCAACTGCAGTTACCCTTCGGTGATGTTTTAAAAGGGATGCTGTTGCCCATCCTGCAACCATGCTTATATGTATACTGGGAAAGTTAACTATATTTTCTCTTTATTTATTAATGTTACTTATGTTTAAATCTTCAAATTGTGGTCTTGTCAAGTTACTATCTTATTAAGTAAACATCCAAGGACTTTACTACTAATACTAATTATATGGCTTTAATGATTCATACCATAATAAACACTTATGATAATTTTTAATAATTACTTCCCAATAAAAAAGTCATATTATTTTTTTAAGTCAGTATTTCAACTTAACAATTTTATAATCTCAGCACACTTCTTTAGTTGATCGGCATTTTCATTATTGATGTAATATTCAGTAATTATTTCTCCTTGTGACGGTTCGCTTATAGGGAAATAGATTCAAGAGGGGAAGGGAGTGCAACAGAATATTTGTAATTATCAATCCGGTAAACTCCTTGATAATTAAGGGGCCGGATGTGACGGTTCGCCTATAGTACAATAGGTTTAATACCATATAAGTACATAGAAAAGAAACAGGGGTTCCTATGGGTGACCGCTGCGAAAGCTGAGCTATTTAATATAAACAAACTTCAAAGTCAAGGTTCACAATAGTATACAGAGAAGACGTTATCATATATGAAATATTGACACAGAAGGGAAACTCCTTTGATGTGTTTCCAAAGTGTAGTGGATGTCACAAGAAAATTAAATAAATTAAACAAAAATATATTATATTTTATATATAACCAAATTATAGTTTACCTTTTTATCATCAGGTGTAAAAAAAAAGATACATACAACACAGTTTAATAAGGTTATGAGAGCCTTTAAAGTTTTATAAATTCGATAATCAATTTAATATAAAATACCAAAATACGTTAACATATAATTAAATTGAATTTAAAGAAAAGTTCAGTTCGAATAATAGGCTAAATCCGATTATTGAAATATCTACCCTTCGGTGACATAATCTATGACGTTACTAGGTGAGAAAAAAAAAATAGAAAGAAAAGGAGGGACGGAGATCGGCGGGCGCGCGGGAGTCGCTTTTTAGGAATTGCGAATGAAAAAAGAAAAAAAAAATGGCGCAGGAGTCGTGTTTTAAGGAACTGCGCAATAAAATAAAAAAAATAACTAGGATATAGATCTAGGAGGGACTGGTTCGATGAAGGGGTTTGAGATCTTAGTGTATCACTATGGATTAAGTGTGTGAAATTAATCAATAGAAGACTGGAGAATCCGGTGAGCTTGTTCCATTTATTACTACGTAGTTAGATTTTTGACTGTGATCACAGGCAAAGTCTATACTTAATATTTTTCCCAACAACTATTAAAATACGTATTTAGTCGAGTCCATATACCTTTAGGTAATGCGTATATCGTTAAATGCAATCACATTTGAACAAAGTTTACATCAATATAATTTACGTACTTACGTTATTCTACTCATATAAAAAATCCAATTATATGGTCGTTTGATAGAACTTCATCAATTTGATTCAATGTTCTAATTGTCCAGTTTGGAAAATACTTATTGAATCAACTATTGAACTATTACAATACTAACTAGTTTCATATCTAGTTATTATAAAGTATTTATTTATTGAGGATAATAGACTAAAGTGACTATGGTCTGGTCTCATTGTTGGGGAAACAGCCATTGATGAGAGAGAGGGGTTATTGAGTGGCGACCCTGTAAATGCAAGTGCGGTGTGGGTTACCTCCATTGTTTGGAGTGACTGTTTTATGTATATTGTGGGGCCGTTCCTTGTGTTAGTCTGTGGGAAATTGCCTGTGTTCAGTCGTGGATTGGTGATGGTTGAGACGATGATGATGATGAAATATTTGTATTTATTACACTATTACAGTGTTGGTTTGGAATATCTGTTCATACTTAACGCTTCATGGTGAAGTGTTTTTATACCATTACTCGGTCGACCAGACTAATGATTCTTAAGTCTATATTTGATTACCCATGACTACATGTAAAGATTTGTTTTACACCAGATGTACAAAGAGACAGTTTAACTGTTGTAAGTGATTTTATGCGGATGTAATACTTTTAATACATTATTGTGTTAGTAGATAAATTCATGTGACTGTGGGGTGTTTATGGTAAACAAGCCTGTATTGTGTAAATAGATATTTTGTCTTGATTTATTATAAACTTTAATATTGATTTTATTGTAGTAAACAAGCTGATAATAACAATTCTGTATGTATTACTGGTTTCTAATAATATTTAATTATGCTGATATTATGGGTGTGGATTTATTTCCTAATGGTAATAAATGTACTAAAGGATTCTCTGACTATAGTTATTCTTAACTAGGTATGAGGTACAGTATAAAATTAGTACTAAATGACAAGTATGAGTTATGTATTTTACTCATATTTAGAAAGGAAGTTGTCCTGGCGATAAGGTTTGTATGTGTGTTGTTTGTTCATGTTATATTGACTAGACAAGTTCAGACAGGGTTAATATTAGTGAATATTTACTGGATTTATATTTAATATACATGTTTTGAATATTTTATGGGAATAGTATGGAGATATACAAGTAGTAAAATATAATATTAGTATTTTATAAATTTAATTATTGAGTTATATGTTTATGTCGGACTGTATCCAAGGAGATATTATCCTATTAATATCAAGTTAGGACAATTACTTTAAATATTAATAAAGCAAACATTAACACTGATTATTCACTTCTTTAATAAATTTACATTAGAGGTTAGAAATCAAATAGATAGCATATTGGGAAATCTTCACCACACATGTATTTGAGGAATGTTCTTGATAATTAGTACTGTATGTATATATTATTGCAAGTACAATTGCAATAAGAATGTTAAACTTCTAATCTTCTGTTCATTCTTGAATTTGAGAGTAAGCTTGGCTACTGATATGAATATAAAACTGCAGTATTACTGGATACTATTAATTATTACTGGTGTAAACCTTGATTATTTATATCACTGATAATTTAGTTATATATTACGGTTGATATATGATGATTTTATATTTAATTATATTAAACAAATACAAATAAACAAACTTGCTAGTATTTGTTACGTTGACAGTTGTGATAGATAATCAAAATTCAATTCAATACATCAATACGTCATTCAATACGTCATTAATGTGACAGATGTCAAACAAAAGGAGATTATACACGTTATGATTCTATATCTAAGTCTATAGAAAATTTATATAATTTTCTGTTATTTTATAATAACTGTAGGGGAAATATTGGAATTATTTATATGAGAAATTTCACTTAAATGATATGATAATTATTTAAAGACCTAATTTCTTAGGGATTTAATCATGATGATTTAAACACTAAAACACTTGTTTATCTGAGAAATCCTTTTAGTAAATAGGTTTACTAAGACACTAAAAGGAAGTAGATATAGTGTAACTATAGTACAGCTACAACAATTGTATGAGACTTACTGTCCTTTCTATACAAATATATATTTAATCTATATCTTTCACATTATAATTATGCAATATATTGCCTCTACTACTACAACATACACAAATAGGACTTATTGTCCTTCCTATATACCTATATATAATAATTGACCTGGCACTTTAATGTGTAATTTATCAGTACTTATGACAACAACCAATTAGGACTTATAGTCCTCTCTATAAAGCTACATAATTATTTAATCTGATTATTTCACAATATGATTAATCAAACCTCTACAAATATTACAAAAGATCTCTATTACTCTCAACACAATAATAGCTTGTTGGACTTAGTGTCCTCAAACTTATAGAAAACCCAACTGGTTATTTCACGAGACGTTGTTAACTTGTGATTAATCAGTGTCTTTTAAAGGACTTATAGTTCCTTTAGATATATCTCTTTGAATAAATAATTGGTTAATTCACAATGTGGTTAATCAACAATAATACACAATAATATAATTGACTGGACTTATAGTTCATTCAATAGCACTCATTACTTTTAGTAGCTCTCGACCTATGGGTTGGACTACTCGTTTTTAGGCTCCGGCCTAATCAACAGATTTAACTTGAACCTTGAGTATTCTTGGTATTAAGTAAATAATATTAAATTGACAATGCTATGTTATGATATAGCAATTATCAACATTATATGGCTTGGCCAATTCCAGGGTGTGGAAGGTATCCCCTATCACACAAATCTTCATCTCTATCGGACTGTCTTCACAGGTGATCTCTAATGTCACATTATAGGGCCGAAGGTTTATGTCCCAACAAAGTAGGTTCTGGTGTCTGGGTGATCTCGCTTCTTGGTCTGATCTCTTGTGGAGCCGAAGGGAAACCCCCATTGAGTAAGCTCGTAACAGGGTGACGCTGGGAAACAGTTTCGTACTGTTAGTGGGTGATCTCTATGTCGCCATATAGGACTGAAAGGGTCATCGCCCATGAGTAAGCTCTCGTGTCGGAGTGATCCTGGGATTTCAGTTCCGATCTTTTTGCCTCTGGCAAAACTAATTTATACTGGAAGCATCGTGGGGCTGGTGGAGCCACTGTAATGTTGAAGTAAATGTACTTATGTTTGGTTTGGAACTGAGAATACTCATTCCCTTATTACCATCAGAGTGCATTAATAAATAGTTATACCCTTCCCTACCTTTTTGGAGGAAGAGTTATAGATAGTTGGAAAGTCTTCCACTGGTCCGGGCGTGTGAGGGGCCCGACCGCTCCCCCATTTTTTTATTACAATTATTCTGTAATTTAATATTAAATTAACAACTTCCTAGTTGCACGAATAATGAGTATAATTCATTAATTATTCTTAATCCTTAAAGCTTTATCAATTATCTTTAT